ACTACTACTACTACTACTACTACTACTACTACTACTACTAGTACTACTACTACTGCTGCAACAACAACTACTACTACTACTCGTACTACTACTACTACTACTACTGCTGCTGCTACTACTACTACTACTATTACTACTACTTCTACTACTGCTGCTACGTCTACTACTACGGCTAATACTACGACTACTACTGCTGCTACTACTACTACTATTACTACTACTACTACTACTACTACTACTACTACTACTACTACGACCACTACTACTACTACTACTACTACTACTACTACTACTACTACTACTACTACTACTACTACTACTACTACTACTACTACTACTACTACTACTACTACTACTATTATTATTACTCATACTACTACTAGTACTACTACTACGACGACATCTATTGGAGCCACACATTATTTACACGGTTTCGTGCCCCCCCCCTCCTCTAAGGAGGCCCCGCACGAGCGGCGACGTTTTCGGAACCACACATTATTCACACGTTTTGGTGCCCGTCCCACCCCGCCAGGGAGGCCCCGCCAGAACGAGGACGGTATCGGAACCACACATTATTTTCACGGTTTCGTGCCCATTCTCCCCCATAGAGAAGCCCCGCCAGAACGAGGACGTTATCGGAACCAGACATTATTTCCACGGTGTCGTGCCCTTCCCGCTTCCCTCAGAGGGGGCCCCGCCAAAGCGAGGACGCTATCGGAACCACGCATTTTTTACACGGTTTCGTGCCCTTCCCACCCACCCCAGGGAGGCCCCGCCAGAGCGAGGACGCTATCGGAATCAGACATTCTGTGTACAGTCTCGTGCCATTCCCATCCCCGGGGAAGCCTCGCCAGAGCGAGGAGGGCATCGGAACCACACATTATTTGCACTGTTTCGTGGCCCTCCCACCCCTTCAGGGAGGCCCCGCCAGAACGAGGACGCTATGGGAACCACACGTAATTTACACGGGTTCGTGCCCTTCCTTCCCCCCCAGGGAGGCCCCGCCAGAGCGAGGAGGGTATCGGAACCACACATCGTTTTCACGATTTCGTGCTCCTCCCACACCTCCAGGGAGGCCCCGTCAGAGCGAGGAGGGTATGGGAACCGCATATCCCGCTAACCCAGCAACATCATTATGTGGGGAGCTCCTTTAGAATCTTTTTTTGTTGGGGTGGGTTTAAAGAATCCCCGAAAACGACATGCACATATTTTCCAGGGTCCGCATGGAGCTCTTGGGTCCTCGCCGGGCCCCCCTTGCCGCCACCCCCTGGCGCGCCAGGCAAAGGGGTGCGAGGATGGGGGTCCAGCGCCGACCCAAGACATCGGACCTCTAGAAGCTGATGCGCATGCTGCTTGTGGTTCCTCTGGTGGCCTTTTCTCTTCCTTTCTGCATCTCCGTGCCAGTCTGGGTGCATCATCACGGCCCCTGTCGGCCAACTCTGGTGCCTGCCACTGGCACTGGCAGCGGACCTGGGGCCTCAGTAATATCCAGCCGCGCAGCCGCGCAGATCCGACCATCCAGGTACAGTGATGCTTCAGACCCTAGAGGGTTCCTTGTTTGATGAGGGCGGCGGTGGTATCCATGGCCATGCCTCAATTGGTGTCCCAACGGCTTCCAGACCCTGGATTCCTTCTCCAAGGGTTCCTTATCCAATGCCGTCTCCGTATCTGGAAGTTTTTTTCGGGGGGGGGGCGTCTTCTGGAGGCCTTGCCAGGCTTCTCCTGCAGAGGGGTCCGTGGCCTCCGCCATGCCGCGACGGGCTCGCGGCTTCGGCTTTCATTGGGATCGAAGAAGGAACATCGACATTAGCATAAACTTTTGGCGCTCCGCGCGGGTTTCTTGGATCGGCGCCGAGCCTGCCCGGCGGCGCCTCCAGCGCCGCCCCTGGCGCGCGGAGCGCGCCAGGGAGGGGGGTGTCTTGCGCAGATCGAAGACATCCGCGCCGAGCGTCAAAAGTTCCCCAATCAGAGCTTGCCTCTGTAGGGTTCCTCGCGGATTCATATGGTTAGGTGACGCATGGCGCCGATTTCGGTGGCACGCCCGGGTGCCCGGGTGCCTGGGTGCCCGGGTGCCCGGTAGCCCAATAGCCCTGTAGCCTTATAGTAGCCTTATAGCCCTATAGCCCTATAGCCCCATAGTCCTTAGCCCTATCGTCCTATAGCCCTATAGCCCTCTAGCCCTATAGCCCTATAGCCCTATAACCCTATATCCCTACAGCCCTATAGCCCTATAGCCCTATAGCAGTTTACCATTATAGCCCTATAACTCTATGGCCCTATGGCCCTATCGCCCTATTGCCCTATAGCCCTATAGCCCTATATCCCTAAACTCCTACAGCCCTATAGCCCTATAGCCCTACAACCCTATAGCCCTATAGCCCTAGAGCCCTATAGCGTCCTATAGCCCTATAGCCCTATAGCCATATAGCCCTATAGCCCGATAGCCCTATAGCCCTATAGCCCTATAGGCCTATAGCCCTATAGCCCCATAGCCTTTTAGCCTTATAGCCCTATAGCTCTAAAGCCTAATCGCCCTAAAACCCAATTGCCCTATAGCCCTACAGTCCTATAGCCCTATAACCCTATAACCCTATAGCTCTATATGCCTATAGCCCTGTAGTCTTATAGCCCTATATACCTACAACCCTATGGTCCTGTAGCCCTACAGCCGCATAGCATAACCCTATAGCCCTAACAAGATGATGATTAGGGTTTTTCCTCCGGTATCATGTATGTTTATTGCGTTTTCTCGTCTTCTATGGGAGGCCCCACGCCCTGTGTGTTCGCAGTAGAACACGCGGGCGCACGTCGGGTCGGTTCGGTGGGGGCGGCCTTTTCACTGCCACGCGGTGAGCGGGATACCAAAGGAAGGCCAGGGTGCGTTGGGGGATCCGGGGCCTACCGTTGCCGCAGTCCCCCTTGGTAGCGGATCGAGAGCGATGAGCTCGAAAGGGACAGCTGTCTCCGTGGGTTGGCCAGAAAGAGAGAGAGAGAGAGAGAGAGAGAGAGAGAGAGAAAGAGAAAGAGAGAGAGAGAGAGAAACAAGAGAGAGAGAGAGAGAGAAAGAGATAAGAGAGAAGAGATAAGAGAGAGAGAGAGAAATGTATAGAGAGAGAGAGAGAGAGAGAGAGAGAGAGAGAGAGAGAGAGAGAGAGAGAGAGAGAAAGAGAGAAAACGAGAGAGAGAGAGAGAGAGAGAGAAAAAAAAAACGAGAAAGAGAGACAGAGAGAGAGAGAGAGAGAGAAATAGAAAGTCAGACAGAGAGAGAGAGAGCCAGAGAGAGAGAGAGAGAGAGAACGAGAGAGCCTTGGGGGGTCTTGCGTATGGGGCCCTGCGGGTCGGTCCCTTGCGTGAGCCCTGCGCTGGCCCCGTGGTCCTGTGGCCTGGTCTTGCGGCTAGGTCCTGTGTGTGGGCCTGTGTGTGTGTATGTGTGTGTGTGTATTTTTGACCGGAAGGGGCCCGCTCCCGACCTGCAGACCAAACAAGTGTGTATGTGTGTGTGTGTGTGTGTTTCCGCGCTGCAGCCCTGCCCCGCTTCCGCTCGCCCGCGGCCGCTGCGGTGTCGCTCCCGCCGCCCCTGGGCTCCTTGCCCCGCCTCAGGTCCCGTGCCGTCTCCATGCGGCCCCACCGCGGGCACCTGCTCTTCACCCTTCCTCCTCCTCCTCTTCTTCCTCCTCCTCCTCCTCCTCCTCTTCCTCCGTCTTTTTTTCCTCCTCCCCCTCCTCCTCCTCCTCCTCCTCCTCTTCCTCCTGCTCCTCCTCCGCCTCAGGTCCCGTGCCGCCTCTATGCGTCCCCGTCGCGGGCACCTGCTCCCCACCCACTCTCCCCCCTTCGGTTAAGTCGGGCCTGTCCCTCTACAGGAGGAATGTTCGAAAATGTTCAACAAATAGCCTGGGGACGACTCTTTCTGTCAAATGCCGAGCATTTTTTGACTATTTTCAATTTTTCATCGAAAATCGGCCTGTACGGGGACAGGCCCGACCTAACCCTTCGGCTGCCTGTCCTCGCCTTCTCGCCGCCCCCGCGCCGCTTGCCTCGTCCTGCCGCGTGCCTTGCCCTCTCTGGTCTTGCCCTCTGGCACTTCGCCTTGCCTTGCTCGTCCACGTACTGTCGCCACTGGCCTTGAATCGGGCATGTCCCTCTACAGGAGGAATAATACCCCAAAATAGTTCACACACAAATAGTATGAACATTTTTTTTTTTAAATACTATTTTTGGCTATTTTTGAACTTGTTCTGACTATTTCTGCTCTTCGTCCAAAATCCGCCTGTAGGAGGACATGCCCGACCTTAAACCGGCCTGTGACTGGTGACTGGAGAGTAGCAGCCAGAGGCGCACGTTCTTGTAAGTGAATGACCGGAGATTTCCTCCACCACATGAGCGCCTGCTAGTTTTCACCCGCCTGTGCCCCAAGCGGCCGCCCCTTCGCGGGCATACAGGCTTGACCTTGACCCTGACCTACACCGGCCTGTCGGAACCGTCCCCTCGTCTCTTCCCCTGGGTATGCGCATGTCGTGGTGGATCCCCTCGTGCGGATCCCTGCCCCGCCTTCCGCGGGGCCGGCCGCGCGGGGGTCTTCCTTTCTCCTGCCCGCCGGCGCTCTGCGCCTCGACGCTGGCGCCGCGAGGCCGCGGCGCCCCCCGACAGCGTGTCCCTGCGCGGGCCCGGGTGCTGTGCGTCCTGCGCGCGTGGGCCCCGGACTGCCGCGGCCCCTGGCGGGCCCGCGCACGCGCGCGCGCAGGGACGGAGCCACACGCCGCTCCTCGCTCCGGCGCGTGCACGGCGTCCTGGCCCTGTCCGCTTCTCTTCAGAAGAGGGGGAACAGCACACAGGCACAGAGAATCGTCGGTCCCCCGGGGAAGCGATGGAAAACATGGGAAGTGGAGGGGAAGGCGAACATCCAGAACACATGGAGACTCTTTGGGAATCCTCGGATCTGTGCCTACTCATTCGTGCGTCTCTGGGCGCCTTCATTCTTGGGCCCCTTCCCCCCGCCGCAGGAGCTCCTCGTGCCGGCCGCGCCGTCCGCGTGCGCCCTGCTGCAGGAGGCCTGCGCGGATTCCGCGGCAGCCCTCGGCGAGGAGTCCTCCCAGGAGGTGATCACCGCGGCGGCGCCGACCGCAGCGGCCTCATCCCTAGACCCCCTCGGGTCCTGAAGAAATCAGGACGGAGTGTTTTTCGCAGTCTTGTGCCTCGGGGTGGGGGGGGCTTACCGGCCCTCGGGACCCTAAAAACAACGAGTGGGAATGAAGGGTGGGGCCCTGGGAATGGGTTCAGACCGCATGAAAAACACCATGACGTCGAGGGTCTGGTTCCCGCATGCCCTGGATCCCCCCGCCCTCTCTCGCCTTGAGAGAACATCACATGGCAGCCTCTGGGGGCCCCCACCTGGGCCACGGGGCAGTCTAAAAGCGACTTGGGGGGGCAAGCCGGTCCCAGGGCAGGGGCCGAGCCCTCCAGAGGTCTCCTCCTCCTCCTCCTCCTCCTCCTCCTCCTCCTCCTCCTCCTCCTCTCCTCCTCCTCCTCCTCCTCCTCCTCCTCCTCCTCCTCCTCCTCCTCCTCCTCCTCCTCTCCTCTCCTCCTCCTCCTCCTCCTCCTCCTCCTCCTCCTCCTCCTCCTCCTCCTCCTCCTCCTCCCCCTCCTCCCCATCTTCCTCCGTCACGACGCCGGAGTCGGAGACCTGGGTGCGGTGGATCCGCGGCGGCGCTGCCGCGGCGGCGGCCCCTGTGCGGGCGTTCTCAAGGCTTCTTGGGTGGGAGGCCGCCAGGGGCCCGCAGCCGGCCGACAGCGAAGGAGCTGTGCCGTCGGAACGTCGCGATCGGTCAACCGTGGATTTGGGACGACTGTGCAGGAGGAAGAGGTGGAAGAGGAGGAGGAGGAGGAGGAGGAGGAGGAGGAGGAGGAGGAGGAGGAGAGGAGGAGGAGGAGGAGGAGAAGGAGGAGGAGAGGAGGAGGAGGAGGAGGAGGAGGAGGAGGAGGAGGAGGAGGAGGAGGAGGAGGAGGAGGAGGAGGAGGAGGAGGGAGGAGGAGGAGGAGGAGGAGGAGGGAGGAGGAGGAGGAGGAGGGGAGGAGGAGGAGGAGGAGGAGGAAGGGGAGGAGGAGGAGGAGGAGGAGGAGGAGGATGTCAACGATGTTGGAATTAACCCTCCCTCCAAGCTCCCTCTTCGTAGGCCCCCACAACGGTTCATTTCCACTGATGGAACTGCCTCGTTGGAAGACAACCGTTTGAAGATCTTGAACCATGCCAGACAATTGTTTCGGGATCTCAACGCCACGTATCAACCTGACTGCTGCGTCTTGAATATCCGGAATCGTGCCAGAGCGCCGTCTTTGGGACTTCAACACCGCGAACCAACATAATTGTTGCACCCGCATAATCTGGATTCCTTCCAAAACACCCTTTCTGGCACGTTGATCATGGGAATCTGTGACATTCTTGCAAATATTGAAAATGAGTGCGCGCGGCGCGAAGGCGAGAGCCACATTTTGAAAAGGAGCCGCCCTTAATCCGTGAAGGTCTTGCAAATTTTGAAAACGAATGTGCGCGGCGCTAAGGCGAGAGCCACGTTTTGAAAACGACCCGTCCTCAATCCGTGAAGCTCTTGCAAACTTTTGAGAACGAATGTGCGCGGCGCTAAGGCGAGAGCCACGTTTTGAAAACGACCCGTCCTCAATCCGTGAAGCTCTTGCATTTTTGAGAACGAATGTGCGCGGCGCTAAGGCGAGAGTCACATTTTGAAAACCACCCGCCCTCCATCCGTGAATTTCTTGCAGGGTCTTGCAATGTTTGAAAATTAATGTGCGCGGCGCGAAGCCGAGAGCCACATTTTGAAAACCGCCCGCCTTCAATCCGTTAAGCTCTTGCAGATTTTGAAAAAGAATGTGCGCGGCGCTGAGGCGAGAGCCACATTTTGAAAACGACCCGCCTTCAGGCCGTGAAACTCTTGCAAACATTTGCAAAGCGAGTGTGCGCGGCGCTGAGGCGAGAGCCACATTTTGAAAACCACCCGCCTCAATCCGTTAAGCTCTTGCAGATTTTGAAAACGAATGTGCGCGGCGCTGAGGCGAGAGCTTCATTTTGAAATTGACCCGCCTTCAATCCGTGAAGCTCTTGCAAATGTTTAAAACGAATGCGCGCAGCGCTAAAGCGAGAGCCGCGAGTCAACATAATTGTTGCACCCGCATAATCCTGAATCCTTCCACAACGCAATTTTCTGGTACGTTGATTATGGGAATCTGTGACATTCTTGCAAATTTTGAAACGAATGTGCGGGGCGCGAAGGCGAGAGCCACATTTTGAAAAGGAACCGCCCTTAATCCGTGAAGGTCTTGCAAATTTTGAAAACGAATGTGCGCGGCGCTAAGGCGAGAGCCACGTTTTGAAAACGACCCGTCCTCAATCCGTGAAGCTCTTGCAAACTTTTGAGAACGAATGTGCGCGGCGCTAAGGCGAGAGCCACATTCTGAAAACCGCCCGCCCTCCATCTGTGAAGCTGTTGCCATTTTTTAGCTTCAGAGTCAGAAATGGTAGGGAAGCCTCAAGCGAAACGCCCGGCCCGCCCTAAAAATTGGTTTCGGGGTGCGACAGGGGGGGTCATCTATAAGGAGAAGGAATGGAGGAGGAGGAGGAGGATGAGGAGGAGGAGGCGGAGGAGGAGGAGGAGCAGGAGGAGGAGGCGGAGGAGGAGGAGGACTCCCGGCGGGGAAGGAATCAAAGCGAAGGGTCTTCCCTTCGAGTGAATTACGACGTTGTTCAATTTCGCTTTGGCTGGCGCGCTTGAGGAGGAGGGCCAAGGGAAGGGCTGGGGGCGGCGACGGGCCCAGCGCTTGAGGAGGAGGGCCCAGGGAAAGGGAGGGGAGCGGCGACGGGCCCAGGGAAAGGGGGGGCGCAGGGAAAGGGGACGACAGAGAGACTACGACCAACGAATGACGGAGACGACGACTCGAACGGACAAGCGCCTCGCACACGCGTTGATTGAGTGAGTGAGTGAGTGAGTGAATTGATTGATTGAGTTGAGTGATTGATGATGACGATGGTGATGATGATGGTGCTGCTGATGGTGGTGCTGATGATGATGGTGGTGATGATGATGCTGATGGTGCTGTTGATGATGATGATGATGATGATGATGATGATGATGATGATGATGATGATGATGATGATGATGATGCTGACGATGATGATGACGATGATGATGATGATGATGATGATGATGATGATGATGATGATGATGAGGATGATGCGGAGAAGGAGGCTAACTAGGAGGAGGACGAGGAGGAGGGAGGGAGGGAAGGTGCTGATGATGTGATGGTGATATAGAGAAGCAGGATGAGGAGGCGGGGGTCCAGAAGTGTCGGAGGACGGAGCGCCCACGACGAGAGGTGCCAGGTCCTTCAGCCTTCAGGCTGCGACTCTGGTCATGGAGAGGTCCCCGGCATGGACCTTGCGCTCTGATGCATCAGCCTGCGGATTGGCGCGCGTGCGCCGGGGTCGGGACCCGTGCCGATGGCCATTCTCCAGCCGATCATGCACAGCGTCGCTGAAACCGTGCCTGCAGGCCGCGCCAGTGTTCGAGGAGCGGGGGGTCGGCCCAAACCGTGTTCTGGAGATGCCAGGGGCCGTTGTCGCTTTGACTTCGTTCTGCAGCAGGGGCGGATCGAGGGCGCAAGGATGGGAAAAAGATGACAAAACGACAACGGACAGCACCGTTTTGGTGGAGCCCTGTCGAGAAACATCCTGGGCAAGCATCCTGCGCAAGCGGGCTCTCCTCTCATCAGCTCTAGCTGCCCGACGCCCATTGACAGGCCGAGGGGTGTAAGTGACGACTTCCAGCACTTCCCAGCCAGCGCAGCACGTGTGCTAAGTCCCTGAGGCTGGTGCTGCCCATTCCGCTAAGGCAAGGAAGCGTCCAAAGTGCGCTGGACTGGTCGGTCCTACCAAGCCGCAGTCGCGGAGTTTTTGCTTGCCACGCGACGATCTCCCCGCGCCTCAACTGTTTCCCTGACCTCCACTTGGGAATCCTTACTGGCACCCATGTGCAAGTGTGCGTATGTGTGAGCCACAGTGCCGAGCATCATTTTTTGTTTTGTGTGTGTGTGTGTGTGTCTGTGGGTGGGTGGGTGTCATGGCCGCGACGTTGACTTCGCGGTGGCCGATTCATAGGATAGGATCGATGGGGGTGGCACCGCTTACGACATTTGATCGAGGCACGGTCTTGCTGAGGCTCAGCAGCGACATGGACCCCTTGATTAG